GTATATAAAACACAGAATCAAAATGAAGATTGTTTACTGTTCCATCATTATTTCATTATTATCATGATTAAAATATGAAATATAAAAAATCGGGTCATTGCGCGCGTTTAAAAACCATGTTTGATGCGGCCTTCGGAATCACCCCGTATACTTCATACTATTTTAAAAATGTCCCCCTTAAGGCGCCTAAAAATTATTCTCTATCTGTATGGAATAGGAATAATATTATCACTATTGGCCCGCCCTGTATGAATATTTCTAGTAATGGAAAAAAAACTTTAAATATGCAGGTATTGAATGTTGCGAACAATAATTAAAAAAGTAAATAGTTTTTATATAATATTTTATTTAAAACAAATAATTCAATATTCTTATTTAACTAACTACGAAATGTTAACATATCATTAATAAAATAATATATTTTAAAATATCAAATGCAACTGTTATCGGATTAATTATTATTCACCCTATTGAATACAACAGTTTTTGGTGCCACGGTGTATATTTCCAAACAACAGTCCCAGTCCGAAACATACCTAATTATTTGTGGTGGGGCGCAAGAGAATGAGAGCGATCCAACGAGTGGGGACTTTAAGTTGCCCTTCATTGTACAAGAAGAGTTGAAAAGTAATAGTTTTAAATTTACCTCTTATTTTCTTATGGGATATGCATCGAGTCAAAAAGAGATGACGATTGAACGAAGATATACTGAGGAATCTTGTGATGTATTTGTTTTTTATTGGCTGATTAACTTATGTGGCGACCGTCTCTTTACAGACCGTACTCTGTGACCACTGAAATTATACTAAGAAGTCTAAGAAGTAAGAACACAATACATTTGACCCTGACATCTCTTCTTCTTCCTTTAAGAACTACTTAAATTTGCGCGAAAATTCAAATGTAAAATTATCGGTATCGAATGCAAATGAGGTAAATAATATAGATTTTAAATTAATTTTAATCACAATGCAAACTTTTCGCAGATGAGCCAAGCTAAAGCAAATTGTATTCACTATGGTACAAAATAAATAAAACAGGAGTTTATCAATTATTTTATTAAAAATGTCCATTTAAGGCAGTATATAAAAATTATATATAAATAAAACCTATCTTAAAATTTAGATATATACACGAACTATCGGTTAAACAATAAATAAAATAAATAATCTAAAAGAAGAAATTGAAATCTTACCGTCACAAAATGCAGGGATAAAGTCAGTGCAAACAGCGAAATTCCTCAAAAACGGGGAACTTTATTTCGGAGAATCCGAGAGCCAATTTCGTTTTGTAACGGTAAAATTCGTTTTAGTGATTCCTAATATGTCACAGATTTCGTCAAAGCTGACCCACCACCTAAGAACCGCCACCAACCCGAAAATTAAGTTACGTTAAATTAACTATTGCGATATCTTGAGTCTTGTCGGGACGAACCCGCTTCATTGACATCTCTTCTTAAGTTAACATACGGCGACTGACCGAAAAGTTTGGTAAAAAATTCGCACCTTCGGCTATCCGGGAACTTTTCGATCAGCCCTCGTATTACATTTAAAATATACCTTTCGCGCTAACTTAACAGAAAGATCAATCAACGTTATTTAATATTGCCGTACTTATTACGTAAATACTGAGAAATTATAAACGTATCAAATTAAAGCACCGAAAAGTGTCCATCTTTCTCGTCGTCGTTCTCAAGCGATGTGTTTTCCTGGATTCAGCCACTTCTTCATGTAGTAGCAGAACAGCGTGCTGATGTACAGTAAGACTAATAAGGCACAAGTTACACCTAAGGCTAAAACTGAGGTCTTCGTTGGACAAGGTTCGATGATCGTCACTGTTTTATCTGAAAAACGACATATTTTTAGGTTTGCTAGTAACCATAGACAGAGGCGGACTGGATAGATGAACAGGCCCGGGAAACATTCATCAAGCGGCCCGTTTTTTGAAAGAAAAATATTATTCATCCTTCTACAGCGCGGACCGGCCCAAAATGACCGCGGCCCATCGGGAAATCTCCCGAGTTCCCGCATAGCCAATCCGCCTCTGACCATAGACCATAGGCAAGTTCGGTATTAACATTTAGATGCGCTGGAAATGTTTTGTCCTTTTCTAATTGCAACAGATGAAAAAACAAAGAGATACATCTAGAGCATCTAGATGTTAATACCGAACTTACCTGTTATAATCTATGGTAACACCTTCGAGCATATACTCCTAGAGGCAGCCACCAGTGCTGAGAAAGCGCGACTGGTGTGCGACAGAGAAAGGAGAATAATAGGACTCTCTCTCGCTCCACGATCTGGATTGGTCCGTGCGTGCTCCCCTCCATGCCAATGACCGTTCTGCACCTAAGCCCCGACCAATCAGCTCGCGGAGCGAGAGAGATAGCATGTCCTTTTATTGTCCTTTCTCTCTCGCACACCAGTCGCGCTGTCTCAGCACTGAAGGCTGCCTCTAGGAGTATATGCTCGAAGGGTAACACAGAGCGCTAGTGCGCTACGTTCGGAAACAAACGCCAATAAATTTTAATAAATAATATGTCAACAACAGATGGCGATGGCATGGAAGATCTGCCAATGCTACAGGAAATAATTTTGCCTGCAAAGACATTAACGTAGTAGAGATGTATACTTCTCTTCTTTCTTATTGGCTGTATTAAACAACCCATCACAAGGATATAAACAAGAGTTCCAAGCTTACATTTGTACTCGACTTTAAATTTTAGCATTTCTAAAGATTTGTTGGTAAATTTGCTTACCTCTTCCAAAATCGGCACTGGACAAGTCGCTCTTCAAGAATTCCGACTGCTTTTCATCTCCGAAGTCCAAAACGAGAATTTCTTGGCTGAGGGTCATATCTTCTTCTTTCTCTTCGTCGGTCTGGTTGTTGACGCTTCTCTTCCTTCTGCCCCATGATTCAATGGAGTCACGTCCCCACTCACAAACGGCCTGTAAAAAATGGAATCGATATATCGTATCCAATTTTTATGGTATGGTAGTTATCTACAACAATTGAGGACAGAGGACAGTCCCATCTCGATCCAGCTTTTACCCTCTCCTAAAAAACTTGGAGAATGCCCCATTTTAACGCAAACCGAAACACTTACGGGTTCGCACGGTCCAAGGCAGTATTTGACGTTGCATTGGAAGATGACACCGTAAGATTCCGTGAACCTGAAGGCTTCATAAATAGACTGTAATGCGTTTCCATCTGGAGTGAAAGCAGGGAAGATCGTGGGGTCCACCGGGCAGCCCTCGTCGTCGATTATCTGGAACGTGCTCTTCGAGTCCTTGGCCATAGCGACGCAGCTGCGGGCGAAGATGCCGTAAGGAGCTGAAAAATTAAAAAAAGGCGTTAAAGAAACTTGCTCTATGATCCATTTCAAGAGAAATGCGTGTCGTTTGACGTCACGTTATAAGCGCTGACAAACATTACACTTTTTCTTGAAAATTTTCTATTTTTCTACTACGCTACGAAGCAATAAACGTCGTGTCACATCAATCTAGGCAAGATTAGAGCTTTCGCGAACAAGGCGTTTATTAAAAAGTTTTCGAAAGACACCAATAAACGTCTACTTACTGTCCTCTGGAATTTCGATCCTGAAGGTGAGCTTGTCTCCGATGCGGACGGTCTCGACTTCGCGTTGACGGCTGTCGAGGATGCGAATCCTTGGGGGTGGGGCCTCTGGGGCGGAGGTGATGCTTATCATCTCAGGATCTCTGCAAGTGAACAATAACATTTTTGTTTTCGATTTCAGTACTTCATATCTCGAAAACCAGTAAGTTTAGACTCATTCTAAATAAAATGCGGTATGCCTTTACTATTTTTTCTTATTCCGCCCAGTAGATATTTGATTGCAGGAAAAGTTACTTATGCTAACGCTATTTATCCGTAACCAAATCGTCAACGGAACGTCTTGCACAGTTTAAATTTAATCAGAATGCGATCATGATCCGAACACTTGCGAAGGGAAACGAAGGCTAGCCTCCACTGCTGCTAAGGAGGCTAGCCTCCACTGCTCAGCCAGACCGTATGAATCTAGTGTACCGAAACCGCAGTAAATTGAACTGTGAGTACAAGGCATCTAGGATCTACAGAGGAGCTTCGTTTTGTGGTATTTATTTTAGTTTTCAGTTTACCGGTTTACGAGAAGGTTTTTGTAAAGTGTCTTTTATGTAAGTGTACTTATTTATTAAGTCTTTATTGAACATATATTTTTCGATCGAAAACCACACTGCAAGAAGCTGGTAGTTTGACGCAAGGACGGTTAGAATTCCAGCAACTCCTGCGGGTTTTTTAATCCCCACACTTCGCTTCTTCTTGCGTTTGGTGATTGAAAAGACCCGTAAAAAGCAGGCTTGTGGTGTAAGCTGATGCGACCAGCGCTGTCGACATTGTAGTTTAACAATTATCCGAGCAAAAAAGCCACCGAGCTCGCGGTTTGTGCACCTTTCGTTACTTCAAAGCTCGCTGAACCGAAATGTGACGCAGATTAAAACGATTTTTTCCGGACCGCCGACATACACCCGGCCATCGGCAGAGAGCCGATGTCGCTGGAAAACGATGTGATGGAATTGTTTCGCGTACTACGCGATTGCCTGTAATCAGTAGAAAAACTGTATGGGAGGTGCTCAGAACACCAGGAATAAAATACAGTGCTGAAAATTCGTACTATCAGTTGACATTTTTTATGTTGGCATGTCTTATTCGTTAACGAAAAAAACGGGTCATGCCGCTGTAATTTGCTAACGTTTCGTCGTTGTTGACGAGGCTAACCAAGAAGGAATCTGCTTACCTAATTGGCATCATTCCGAAGGTGATGTTCTTGGAGGACATGTCGTACGTGCACTTCACTTTATAGATCTTATCCGCTTTGGTCATCACGACGCTGTGGTGCTGGAGGACGACTGTGTTGCTGTAGACACCGATCTGGAACAGAAAACGCCCTTAATAATATCCATCGGGGAAACTTGAATAAAAAAATATATATATAATAAATGAAAACGTGATACAATCCTGAATATTTTTTATTTTCACAAAAACAACTCCTTTCAGTATCGTATTTGAAAAATTCCTAGCAAGATCTTGTGTTTCGTCTATTGCTGTTGGATTATAAGCTCGCGTATATCTGCGCCAGTCCGTCGTGGCATAGGTGGATATCATTAGGATCAGGAATAAATTTAATTAGTGTTAAATTATCTGTAAGAGGGCCGTATCTCCAAAAGGGGCGTGCAGAGAGTAATCCGATTTAATTTATGGGCAATTAACGGATGTATTCTATATGGAAACGTGTGAGGCCAGTGGATAAAGAGGTACCTAGCTTTGAAGAATTTACTTTACCGTGATATATCCTTGTTACACTACACAGCCTTTCGAGTGTTACATCAAAGAAGATTTATAGTCCAGTCATTCTACGGAAAAACGGGAAAAATTGATAGCAGCAATCTGACGACGGGATCTTGTAGGAGGAGGGGAGATAGTTAATGAAAAATACATAAATTATAGTCTGTTTGGAAATGAAAGAGAGTAATAAAACCCCGAGATAAGAACCGGCCATGGGCGTGGTAATATTTCTTTTCAGGTAGTTATCGGGTAATACTAATGCTAACAAAAATGACAGGGATTGGAAAATCGACTATCTACAGACTTTTAAAGGAAACAAAAAATGAACAAGATACTGTAAATCCCCCAAAATCATCTACAGGGAGGTCAAAAGTCGTTATAGATGATTTCTTCAANTTTTTATAAACCGATACATTACATTATGTACATTTAACTTTTTAGGACTAAGATTAAGGTTAAGTTACGGCTAAGTTAGGACTAATACTTTTTTATAAACCAACCATAATACTTTTTTATAAACCAACCATTAGAGGCGATTTAAATAATAATAATTAGTTAATTATTAATAACAGTTTTTAATAAGCTAATGGTGCAGTGTGTAATAATGTACAAACTATTAATTTACGACGTAAAAATGCAAGGCGTGGGGTGTGGTGTTGCAATTCGGTGCAACAGACGCGATTAGTTTAATTTTTCAACTGGACATACTTGTAGTGCAAATTTTGAAGATTTAGATTCCAAGCAGAGCTATTAAGTTTACCATCAAGAAAAAGACTTAAATAATACAGGTATGTTTATTAAAACAATAGAGCAATAATTTAATTAAATTATTATTATATTTAACTATAGCAATAATTGTGGAAAAATCAACAGATTACCATGTTTTGCTTTACAAATTTGTACCCATCTACTAAAAGCAAATAACGTAGTTGGTACATACAAAAATAAATTGTGTTGGGGCCTATTAGGTACAAAGATTCAAAGTACTTTGGTAAGTTACTTGAAATTTAATTAAAGGCAAACATAGATACAATAAGATCATATAAATTGTACACAATTTATATTTTTGAGGCAAGAGAATATTAAGAGAGCTCTAAACTGTTTGTATGTTCAATTGCATATTACATATGAATGTGTATTTGCTTATGGATATTTATATTTAGGCCATATCTGTAATAAAATAAAATATAAAGTTAACATTTTAGACATAAATTAATACCTGTTGATTAACCATAATCATAACTGATCAAATTTGTTTTTATATTAAAAAGAAAAGATTGTGGTACAATGAAGGGCAACTTAAAGTCCCCACTAGTTGGGTCGCTCTCATTCTATCGCGCCCCACCACAAATAATTACGGAATGTTTGGGACTGGGAGTGCGGTATGGAGATATACTACACCGTGGCACCAAAAACTCTGATATATTCGATAGGGTAAATAATTAATCTGATACCAGTTGCATTTGATATTTTTTAAAATATTATTTTATTAATGATATGTAATGTATTGTAACATTTCTTGGTTAGTTAAATAATTATATTGAAGATTTTTTTAAAAATAAAATGTTATAAACCGTTTACTATTTTAACCATTGTTCACTACATCCACATACCTGCATATTTAGTGTTTTCCTGTATTAGAGATATTCATTTATAAATGTTGTCTTAAATCAATACATACAGGGTGGACTAATAGTGATTATATTACTCCTATGTCATATAGATAGAAAATACATATTTTATTAGGGCATCGAGCGGTGCCTTAAAGAGGACATTTTAAAAATATTATGAAGTATACGGAGCGTTTTGGAAAGATGTATCAAACATGATTTATAAATAGGATGACCCGTTTTTTATATTTCATATA